CAATTTAGTATAAAAAAAACTTAAAATAAAATACTTTGAGACATCGGATCTAAGAGCAAATGGTGAGCGGAAATCTTGATCAAAATTGGACGGCTGGATGGTAAGGGACGCATAGATCTTTTATGTTGGATAATTTATTCCGTTTTTACAATTTATGGGAGACTTTCTAAACATTTCTTGATGGTTGGGACCGTATTCATAAGACCATGGGCTATGGGAATGGTAATCTAGGTGCACTAAGATAACATGGCTTCTAGGGGTTTATTAGGCATTCCTAAAACAATTTTTCGGGATTTACAGTTAGGAAAAATAGAGAAAAATAACTAATTTCAAAATAGGGTGTCTACAAGGTTAAATGATGTTATGTTATTAATTTTGAATAAGGTTCCATTTATGGTAATTAGTCTAACGTTTCAAAATTCATTTGGAATATTTTGGATTAACAACTCAATATTTTTTTTATCTCGACCACCATGATCATGAATGAACAAAATATATAAAGGGTGCGGTTAGTATAAAGCTGAGGCTCTAAGCAATCAAATTGGAACCTACCTTCAAATAGTGTCAAGAAATGTGGTTTTAATACTGGAAATCTTTGTGATAGCCTTAAAATACATTTTCATATTTATTTATAAATTTTAAAGCTTCACAAATAGTGTAGATTGACAGATCTATGAAAACTTGAAAATGTTGAAAATTGATGGTCCAAAAATGCGTTATAAAATACACTATTTCCAAAACTTCAAATCCATTTTTTTTTTCATGTCTAGGCATCTTGATGTTGAGATGATCAATTTGAAGATATTTGAGCATCAAAACAACCTCTTCTAGTGAAATTTTTGAAGAACAAATTTGATTGTTTAGACCTTTAGCTCTAAATAAAATTTTCCCATATATAAATTTCAAATATTAAAATTGATTCACTTTGTATTTTTTTTTTTGTTTTTTTTGAACTGTTCATTTTAGTTTTCCGAAGATCACTGCACTATTTTTAGAGCTCTAAACACGAGGTGGAAATTTGGAATGTGTTTCACGTCCTAAAACCCATGAAAACCAAGGACATAAGAGTCGAGGACTCGCAAAAAAAAAAAAAAAACCTCATTAAAGTTTTAAAATTCTGTAGTACACCTTCGCATGGCAGCCTCCTATATTAGCTATTACTATAAAACCTATTATTTTTTCTATACAGAGTTTGTAATCACTACTAGATATCAAATATGAAACCTGATAGCTTTTAATGTGTAAAAAAACTTGAAAGTATTTTTTTTTTTTTAACTTTGGGCCTTCCCAATATTACATCCAACGGTGGATGCCTATTGTAACCTCCTTGTAGAAAAGATAAATTATTTTAGTGTATACTTTTCCATTCGCTATTGTGAAGCAACTCTATTGGTTGTAGATAGATGTGGGCTGAGTGATATATTTCTTGGAGAAAAAAATTAAGAAGAATCAAATTTAAATAAACAAATTCATAGCCATTTTAGATGAGACTAATTAGATAAAAGTGAGGAGGGGGAATTAGGAAGAATCAAATTTAAATAAACAAATTCGTATAGCCATTTTACATGGGACTAATTATATTAAGAAAGATAACATAATTGGCAAACAAAAGGGCCCAACCGGGATCGAACCGGTGACCTCTTGATCTGCAGTCAATTGCTACTACCACTGAGCTGTGGACCCAAATGATGCTACCATTTTCCACAATACCCTTCTAAAGATGCTACAATTTTCCACAATACCCTTCTAAAATTTATAAATAGTAGGAGCCAATTGTTTCCCCACTCTCCCTCTCTCTCTCTCTCTCTTTTTCTCTCTCCTTGGATTTATAGAGGTTATATTTAAATTTAATGGTTAAATTTAAGTCCATGAATTTATAGTTGAAATTAGTTTTCTGTAATGGAGTACAAAGAAAATTTCCTCTTTCAAAGAGCACACTCACCATTTTACAAATATCTCACAAAAGCTTCATCCTTTATTAACACCAAAAAACCATACACAATAAATATCGAATATTGGAATTCCATGCATACCCTGAAAAACAACATGAGAGAATAAAAAGGAAACTGTACCACTCCCAAAATACATAGAAATTTTATATATAAGATTTTTCCTAGAAGGGAGAAGGGAGATCAAACAAATTCATGGAGGCAGAGAGAGTGAGAGGGAGGAAAAGAAATAACATAAACCCATGAGAGAGTGAGAGAGATCAACCCACCATCACAACCACAATTGGTGCTCAGTTCTCCCCAAGCTCCTCATCACCATACTCCTCCACATCCTCCTCCGCAGCAGTGGCCTCCTGATACTGCTGATACTCAGAAACCAAATCATTCATATTGCTCTCTGCCTCTGTAAACTCCATCTCATCCATTCCCTCTCCTGTGTACCAATGCAAGAAAGCCTTCCTCCTAAACATAACAGTGAACTGCTCACTAACCCTCCTAAACATCTCTTGTATCGAAGTCGAATTCCCCATAAAAGTAGAAGACATGGCCAACCCAGTTGGTGGAATATCACATACACTCGACTTGACATTATTCGGGATCCATTCGACAAAGTAAGACGAGTTCTTGTTTTGGACATTGATCATTTGTTCGTCGACTTCTTTTGTCGACATTTTGCCTCTAAACATAGCAGAGGCAGTCAGATAGCGGCCATGGCGAGGGTCGGCAGCGCACATCATGTTTTTCGCATCCCACATTTGTTGGGTGAGTTCAGGAATGGATAGAGCACGGTAATTTTGGGATCCACGAGAGGTCAGGGGGGCAAAACCGACCATGAAAAAGTGGAGGCGAGGAAAGGGGATGAGGTTTACGGCGAGCTTTCTGAGGTCAGAGTTGAGTTGGCCAGGGAAACGGAGGCAACAGGTGACGCCAGACATGGTGGTGGAGATGAGGTGGTTGAGATCACCAACTGCAACAATAGGTGCAAGGGAGGGAAAAAAAAGTTAGCAAAACCCATAATTTAAATCCTTTGACTCGGCTCAAGACTCAACATAGTACTGACTCAAGTGGACTCCATTGGACATAACCATCAGCATCATCATCAAAGCTTTTTTTCAATTAATTGGGGTTGGGTATACGAATCCTGATCCACCTACTCACTGTAGGATTAAGATTCATGATAAATTTTGACAAAAGTTTTATGTTGGTTGCCTACCTAACACAACCCATCCTTTTTACTCATATATGAGACGAGTAAAGGGAAAGTCCTCACCCTTCTTAGACCCATTGGACTCAACCGAGTCCTAAAATGATTTGCTGAGCATGTTCATAGATAAGGGAAAGTGAACTTGAACTAGACTCGGGCACGATTCTTTACTTATATGAAGGTGAATGGGAACTTTAAGGAATTTGTTTTTCTCCTCATTTTCAGTTCTTGTGTGAACTTTTTCTCTAGAGAAGAGATAACTCTAGTGCTCTCGATCTTGAGATATTTGTTGCTTTTTTTACAACCAAAATATTTATCAATCTTCTTTAGTATGCCCAAGACAAATTTGCCTAGAGAATTTAGATATACAACTAATTCCTATCAGCAAAGGACAAACATTATCTTGTAATAGCGAACTTTTTGTGCTTGGAAACAAAAAGATTGAAGTTCCTTCTTTAGTTCACAAGAAAGTTTTCTCTCCTTATTTTGCCCCGTCTCACCCACAATCTATAGGATAAGCTGCATGTACCACAGTTATGGTCTCATCCAATGTTCTAAAACTTGCCGAGTCTAACTTAGAGTCACACAAGTCACTAAGACGTGAGAGGGTGCTGAGACCGAGTAAAAACCTTGGGAATTGGCAAGGGTCTCGCAGGTTCTCAAGGTACTTTATTATACTTTTAGAGACCCAAGTCCGACTCCCTGAGTCGGATCCCGGGCCTCTCCATTCCAGGAGAGTGTTCACAGCCTCGCATCATATGTCTTATCTATTTTCTATTCACTTCTGAGCCACATACACACAAAGGCACCCCTAATCCCTAAACTTCACTATGTTCAATAAAGAAAAAAAATCACTACAACTTCTTTATTATCCCAATCCACAACATTCAATATCAGAAAGAGAGAGAGCCTTACAACTTGGGTTTGTGAGCTTGAGGGTCCTGAAGCATATGTCATAGAGGGCCTCATTGTCCAAGACCATGCACTCATCTGCATTCTCAACAAGTTGGTGCACAGAGAGGGTAGCATTGTAGGGCTCCACCACTGTGTCTGAGACCTTAGGTGAAGGGAAGACAGAGAAAGTGAGCATCATCCTGTCTGGATACTCCTCCCTTATCTTTGAGATTAAGAGGGTACCCATGCCTGAGCCAGTGCCACCTCCTAGAGAGTGGCATATTTGGAATCCTAGAGAGATAAAGAACAGAGTTAGAGTGTATATATCAAATAAGATGTTCATGGAGTAAGTGAAGATGTGTGTTTGTTCCTTTCTTTTGTGGATTGGTAGAAACATTTTGTTTTGTGCTAATGTAATTGCATGAAGAAAAAATAGAAAAAGTAGTCATATCTCTTGGGTGTTAGCTTGTGTTTCACTTCTAGAAGTGTGATATAAAGAAACAGTTTTAGAAACGCAAATAAGAGATTGTATACTATGAGACCATTTACCTTTAATACAACGAGGTCATAATTACTTATAATTATCCGATATGAAATCTGACAGTTTGGGTTAGTCATAAAGTTCAAAAAAGTTTCTTTTGTACAGTGAGCCTGGTCAATGGAACAAATGCAACTATTCAATTCCACATCTAAGGATTAAGATCAATTGTGACCTCCATATACCATATATAAATAGTCTTTTCCCTACAAATAAATAATTATAGAAGGGTGACGAACAGATTATTGGAGCAGCCAAAAACACTCTTACCTTTATCTCTTTTTATCTTTTGGTTACATGATTTCGTTCCTTGGTTTTTTCCAAAAACAGAAAACCTAAAAAATGATTTTCTTTGATAAAAGTATGTCATCCATTTTAAGAAAAGAGAATGACATTCAATTGAAGCCTTGAGGGAGCTTGTTAACCCAATTTTTTAGATTGCCTAGCCAGGAGCATATGAACAGCTGAGAAAAGTCATATATAAGAATACCCTAACAAAACCTATATAAAAAAGGGTATTGTTTGTATAAGGCTGTAGCCCCAAACAATCAATATAAGGTGCACCTTGAAATAGTATCGAAATATATTATTTGAGTTCTGGAAATTTTTGTGATGACCTGAAAATTTATTTTCATATCTAATTATAAAATTTAAAGCTCAAAAAATAGTGTAGATCGAGCAGATCTATGACCACTTGATGATCTTGAAAATTGACGATCAAGAAAATGCATTATAAAATGCACTATTCTCAATACTTGATATACTCAAGTTCATACATCTTGAAGTTGAGATTATCGATTTGAGGATTTTTGAGCATCAAAACTACCTATTCTAGTGAATTTTTGAGGTGTGTCTTAATTTGATTGTTTAGGGCCTCAGCCTTATATAAACTTTTTCCTATTAAAAAATATGAATCATGAGAGAGAGAGATCTTCAAAAAGGTAAGTGCCTTTTAGGGAGCACAACAAGACGATGGTGAGAGAAGAGATCACCAAGATATGGAGAGAAAGAGATCGCCAAAAAAGGGAGGAGAGAGAGAGAGAGAGAGAGGTTAAAGTGTATGTGCCTTATAGTGAGCCCAGCAAGAACAGATCGCCACATGACTAATGTTATACACCATAAAACTCTTTCATAACTAACAAGCTATACAAAAACAAACAGGGTGCGGTTTTCACACAGGCGAGTCTCTGAATAATCAAAAGAAAGCCCACCTTCAAATAGTGTCGAGAAATGTGGTTTTAAATCTGAAAATCTTTGTGATAGCCTTAAAATATGTTTTTAACTTTAATTATAAAATTTAAAGCTTCAAAAATAATGTAGATCTAGCATATCTATGAAAGCTTGAAAATCCTGAAAATCGACGGTCTACAAATGCCTTACAAGATGCACTATTTACAAAACTCAAAATCCATTTTTTTTCTAATGTGCATGCATCTCGATGTCGAGATGATCCATTGAGGATATTTGGACATCAAAGTAACCTCTTCTTGTGAAATTTTTGAAGTGGGCTCTAATTTGATTTTTATCGTTTAGAGCCTTGGCTCTATATAAACTTTTTCCAAACAATATATGCCAAAAGACACAAAACGCCAATGAAATCTACAATAAATCCCACAATGTGTATATGAGAGAGAGATCAATCTACAATGTGTATATGAGAGAGAGATCAATCTACAATGTGTATGTGACAGAGAGAGATCAATCTACAATGTGTATATGAGAGAGAGATCAATCAATAATAGATCCTACAATGTCAATTATTCTAAGAGAGAAAGAGGGAGAGAAGTTTATAATAGATCCTACAATGTCAATTATTCTAAGAGAGATCTATATGAGAGAGATAAATCCACAATAGATCCTACAATGTCAATTATTCAGAGAGAGAGAGAGAGAGAGAGAGAGAGAAATAAATCCTACAATGTAAATTATTCAGAGAGACAAATCCAAACCTTGGAGGCAATCACAATTCTCAGCCTCCCTCCTGACCACATCGAGCACAGCATCAATGAGCTCTGCCCCCTCTGTGTAATGCCCCTTGGCCCAGTTGTTCCCTGCTCCATTTTGCCCAAAAACAAAGTTATCGGGCCTGAAAATTCGACCGTAAGGCCCTGTTCTCAGGCTATCCATGGTGCCTGGTTCGAGGTCCATTAACACAGCTCTTGGAACGAAGCGGCCACCGCTCGCTTCATTGTAATAAACATTCACTCTCTCTAACTGCAATGAAGAGTCCCCTTTGTATGAACCGGTGGTGTCGATGCCATGTTCATCGCAGACAACCTCCCAAAACTTGCCACCAATTTGGTTTCCACATTGCCCTGCTTGGATATGGAGGATTTCTCTCATTTTCGGGATCTGGGGTGAGAAAGAAACCCACAAAAGATTTGGGTTTTAGAGAGAGAATGAGAGGGAGCTCTCCCCTTCTAGAAAAAACACAGGAAAGACTGACTCTTTTCCAAAAGAAGCTCTCCCTCTCTGTAGCACTTGAAAAGAGGGCCTTTTGTGAATCTCTCTCTCTCTCTCTCTCTCTCTAAAATACAGGATTGGGTCTTTGTAGAGATTCTCACTATTGCTTTCTTGTTCCCTGAAATTGAGAAATGCCGAAGAGTGATTGGATTTTTGGAGTAGGACTGATTCTTTCTCTCTCCAGGAAAATTGAGAGAAATGGGAAGAGAGAGAGAGAGAGAGAGAGGCGGAGCAAATGGTGGTCTGTATGAGATGGTTTGTGGGGTTTATGTAGAGGAGAGAGAAGGGGATATATTTGAGTAGATGCAGTCGTTGTGGAGATGGTCGTGAGCTTCTTTCTCTCTCTCTTTCTATTTTTTTTTTCTCTCTCTCTCTCTGTAATAGTTTTTCTCTCACTTTCATATTTCAATCCATCTCTTGATTTCATGTATTTATTTCTTAGTTTTCTTTTAATTATTGGGATTATTTCATTTATAAATTGGCCCCATCATTGTTTTATTTCCATTAAACCTCCCATATCGCCCCTTTCTGTTGAGGGAAATTTATTAAAGCAATAGTGTTCGGTGAGTTGACCGACTCACATGATTTCGTGGAGTCTCCTTACAAAATATATCTCAAACATCTATTTTTTATCCAAAATTTTAGGGTTTGATAATTTCAACCATAACAATGATCTAAATTTAGAATTTTTATTTTTAAAAAATAAAAATATTATTTTTTGAATTCTTTTCTTCACTGTCAATTTTAACTTTTAGTGGAGGTAATATTTTTTGACATCCATCTTAGAGATGGATGATAGATAAACAAGGGACCGCACTGTAATAAGTGAGTCGACTGACCAAAACCATGTCCTTCATTAAAATAATCAAAAGAGATTAACGGTTTAATAAGGGTGTAATTCAATAAGGTAGCAACCTTAAACAATCCAATTAAAGCACACCTCTAAATTTTATCATAACATGTAACTTTGGTGTAAAATATTCTCTATATTATCTAAAAATCTGCTTTTCATACTTTATTATAAGATTTTAAACTTCAAAAATGGTTAAAATCAAGTAGATCTATAAACATACAAAAATCTTGAAAATGGATGGTCTAGGACTCTAGATAATGTGTTGCAAGATGCACTATTCTTGAGACTCAAAACTTTTTATTTTTATTTTTTGATATTCATACATCATGTTGAGATGATCAATTAGAGCGCCTTTTAACATTAAAACAGCCTATTTTGATGAATATTTGAGGTGCATCTTTAATACTACATTTTAATGATGCAATCTTATATAAACTTTTTCTATTTAGTAATGGGTGAGGTTTGTATAAGTTGTCAACTTTATACTATTGAAATAAGGTATACCTCAAAACTATGCACAAAAAAATGCAGTTACCGCAAAGCGTTGCAATGATATGAAAATCTTGAAAATGGATGGTTTAGATAATGTGTTAAAAGATGAACATTTTTTTGTATTAGAAATCACCCTTTTTTCATGTCTATGAATCCCAATTTGAGGGTTTTCCTAAACAAGAACAACTCTCTAGTGGCTTTTTTAGTTGCACCTTACTTGTACAGTATAAGGTTGACACCTTATATAAACTTTTTCCTTTAATAATTACCATTTTGTAACAATTGCAACTCAAGACAATGTGTTATTTTATGGGTATTTTTTAAAAAATTAAAAACTATGGGTAACGTGTAAAATTGTTAATCTTTCACGGGCAATTTGATAAATTTCCCTTCCATTTATCAACTCAACATGGTTTGATTAACTAAAGGGGACGGTAAGGCTGCATTTTTTCGAAGAAAATTAAAGCGCAAATGACAAGGAATGCAATTAAGTTCTCGAAACTCATATGCTGGCTTGGAAATTGTTTTCAATTCTAATTATGAAATCTCATGCTCCAAAAATGGCGTGTATCGGGTGAAATTACCCTTGAAATGAACAATAAAAAAGATATGTTGCAAGATGGACTAGTTTTTATTGGAAAATTTATCGAAAACTATTTAACACTTTGCGCATTTTTTGATTTAATTTTAAAAACCTCTCAAAATACACATGATCATGAGTTGGAACAGTTGAGTTGTTAAATTAGGCATATCTTGATATTTTCTTTTTACTATTTCAAATTTTTCGTTTTTATGTCCATATTTGTCATGGGTGATATCATTGATACACATATCTTTCCCGCATAAAAAAATTGCATGGATATTCATCAAATTATCTATTAGAGATTTAACAATTTAACACTTTTATCTATATCGTTTTATTTAATTTCAAATATATGCAAAAAAAACATATGGTATTGAGTCAGAATAGTTTTAAGTGTGCGAAATGTTAAATAATTCATCTTGTACAAGTATCTCGATAAGAAAATGTATACGATGAGACCGTTTACTTTTGATAGAAAAAGGTCACAATCATTATTGGATGTGAAATCAAACAATTGAAGATACGTTGTTAATCGGGTACAAAGTCATTTGATAAATCTCCCAAAATTAACTTTTCTTGCGAGATATGAATGTGGATTTAAATTGTAAAATACTTACCCTTTACTATTTCACCACCTATTGATTTCAATAAACTTCTTGTTCAAAATTTCAAAAGAACTCAATAAAAAGGAAAATTTCCATTTACAAAATAACCTCAATATTCCCTATTTATTTAACGGTGGTATTAAATACTCACATAGACCATAGGCATTTTTGTCAACTTAACAAGTGGTTTTGGGCATGCAATGGAAATCATTCAAAGATGGGGTTAATTTAGTTATTGACCATCTCATATTTATATTTTATTATATAATTTATTTATTTCTCCTCCTATTCTTAATATTCCTACTTTTTGAATAAATAAGTTGTTGGGTTGATGCACAAGAGGACAGCAGGTCCCATGAGCTGGCCACGATATGAGAGCCCTACTGTCCTAGTGGGTGGACTGTGTACTTCTTGTTTTTTATTTATTAATATTATTATTATTATTTCGATTATTATTATTATTATTATTATTTATTACTATTATTATTACTATTATCTTTTCTTTTGTTGAAATTTGTTTTGCTCTTTCTCCCTTGGTCTTTTCCCTTGGGTTTATTTTTAATTTTACAGGGGCAAAAGGTTTTTCCCCAATCAATAATTGTAGAGAGAGGGACCTCCATTTCATTATTTTCCTCCCTGTAATGTAGCCGTATATTAGTGTTTTTTGGTGACCTCATGCACAAGGGGTGCCGGGTAACAAGATGAGAATCCAATGCTTTCCCCATGTGAGTATTCTGGTGACCGGAATTTGGTTTCTGACTGCCGGAATTTGGTTTTTCAGGCACCAGATCCTATCACTTAAAATATAAGAGAGAAAAAGGGAATGGATTATAATTTGAGTATACAAATCTTGCTTCATTTTTAAAATTTAAAAATAGTTCTATATATTTCATAATTTAAATTTAAGTCCTATTTTTTGATTGCATGTATTTTAGCTTTATCTCTTTCTACAACATATCAATTAAACTCAAATTTGATATGTTGTATATTTTACTATCACAAATAAATCGAGCGCATCACATGTGAAATCTGACTACTAAAATGTGTTCTTTTTTCAAGCCTGCATATGTAATAATGCATACCTCTTAATAGATCCATTTTTTAGATGGATTTTAGGATTTAATTTTTAAAGGCATGTAATCTCTAACATGTAGATCATGAATATAAATAAATAAATAAAATTTTAAAATTAAAAATAACAATTCTAGTAAAAAAACATTTAGACCGTTAGTTTCCATGGTTTTTAGATAGAATACCTACTCGCAAAAATAGATGCCTTACACTTTTAAGACAGCATATGTAGAAATGTGGTCTAGCCTGCATGAAACAATGTTCCTTTTTTTTTTTTAACTTTAACTTAAATTTGCACACAGATGATTGTATAGTTTTCAATTTATAACTATCCCTTTCTCATGTAATGTGAAAGAATGATGAAAATAGCTGGTGTTAGTAAATATTTCTCCTTATATAATTCTTCCTCTCAAAGTATTGTGGCATATTAGTCCTTTGCTTTGGAAACAAAAATTGGGAAAATTGATACAAATAACCAAAGTTTTAAGATTCCATTTGCTTGGGTTCGATTAGCGGTGGCAATGGACCTAGACCCGACTCGGGACCTGAGGCGTAGATCCGATTCGGGTCCAATTATGGGTTGAAAATTGAACGTAGCGGGTCAGGTATGGATCCAAATCTTGGATCCAAATATTATTCGGATTTGGGTCTGATCGGGTCCAGTTAGGTCCGGATCCGGCAATAATTTTCTGGTCCCATATATTTAAATATAGTTAAATATATAGGTATTTTAATTTTTGGGTTGGGTCAAGGTCTGGGTCCGTCCGGACCCATACCTGACCTGACCTGTTGACACCCCTAGGTTCGATCCCAGCAATGGCATTCAGCTAAGAGAAAATAAAAGAAAATGGAAAAGAACACAATTTCTATGTATAAAACCCTTGTCAATAAGGCCTTGTTTGGATGAATTGGAAATTTAAAGGAAAATTCTATTTTATTTTTTAAAATTTAAAATTAGTTTCATATTTTCTACATTTTATATTTAAGTCATTTTTTTGAGAATATAAAGCATATTTTAAATTTATTCATTGTTTTATACATCGGATTAAACTTAAATTTGGTAGATTTATACTTATCACCACGCACACCTTTAAAAGTATTTAAAAAAATAAAATAATAATAATGACCAAAATAATCTTAAAATTTTAAAAGTAATTTGGTAATTTTATTTTTAAAATTAATTTTTTGAATAACTTTTTTGTAGGTATGTGATGAAGATAGAAGTATCAACGTAACAAGTTTGAGCTCACTCCTATGCATATAAAGAATACAAAATTAATAAACTATATACTTTAAAAATGGAAATTAAATATGTAAAATATGAGATATAACTTCTATATAAAATTCCCTTCGGATTTGCAGCCTTCATTGATGATTTTGCTGCCCCATTATTGATCATAGACATAGTAAAAAAATAAGTCTACCTTTTCCCTTATTTTCTCTCATACAAGATCACTCTATTTATAAGCAAGTGGCTATTGAACTAGTGTGGGAAGTATGGTTAAGTTAAAATTGCTCCGACTACCGAGCGTATGGGATGGACCGGATTTAGAAGAAAAATGGAATAAAAATGAAACAATCTTTTTAAAAAATATATATTACAAAAATAGGTCTTAGGCCACAAGATGTGACCCGAGGGCTGGACCAAGCAAGGCCTGGGTAAGGGTTACGTTATAGGGCCGGCCCATTTTGACCTGGCCCAACCTTTCTTTCTTACTCTTTTTTCTTTTTCTTCATTTTCTTAGATTGTATTTGGCTAGCCCTGCTCGTGATACGAGTAGGACCGGGCCTAGG